TAGTAACCATGACTCAAGGGAAAATAATATATCATGCAGTTGAAACTGTTTTTCTATTATTTCTGTTTATGGTTTTATTGTTAATTTTTAATTTCCCTGAAACTGTATAAAAATAATTACCACACATATAAACATATATAGAAAATGTGTATGAGTTTCTATTAAACTTTCTTTTTTAAAATAATTATTGGATTTCACTTTAATTATTTATTTTGACCAGAGGAGGACAGAGCAAGTAAGCAAATGAGTGAGAAAGAGAAAGTGAGAAAGCAAGCCACCAGGTCCAGCACATAAACCGTGGTTGGCCATGTGAAGTCCAACACCCTTAACCACCATGCCACCTGCCAACCCTTCTACCCAACTTTCATCTTACAATGACTCTATGTGCTAAAGAATGATAGGTTTTCCTGTAGAACCTTAAGTAGAGGTTTGAATATAAAGGGCAGGTGCAGACTGGGAAAGAACATTTACACTAAGTCTCAGTTAGTACATTTGGCTTCATTTGCCTTTAAATAGTGTGTAGCCTAAATATTATTTGAGAGTTATTTTTATATTAATTTTCACTTACATACAATTTTGTATGAATACAATGATCATCTCAATGCATGGCCAAAGTTCTGTTTATATAAATGTATGGTTCATTACAAGTAATAGCTTGGTGAATTTGTGATAACATTAAGCAAACTGTGAGTTAGATGATTTTAATGGAAAATAATTATAACTGTGTTTTCATATTGCACGTGTTAATAGGTCAGCACAATGACATAAAGAAAGTGAAGTTATTGTCTAGGATTATGCTATAATGATAAATCTAAGAGCAAGTTAATTTTTACCCATGGAAAAAGGAAATGTCATTTCAATTAGATAAATAAATCTTCCTGAAAGATACAACAACATAAAACTGCATATTGACTTTGTGGAAAGCTTGTACAAAGGATGTTCACTTAGCTGAAGTCCATTTAAGAGAAAAAGTGGATTCCTAGGTGACTGTGTATATTAAGCATATACGTGCTATCGTCTACTTTCTAATATATTCATACATCTTGTTTTATCCAGTTCCACTCTATGCTCATATTGAAGTCAGAAGAGAAAAATTATATATAGGGATTTATGTGTTAGCCTTGGTTTTATAAGAGGTCATTTATGTAGGTAGTATGGAACATCCTTAAAATATGTAAAAGTAATTGAAATTGCTGGCTCAACTCTATTGCATTGTAGATAGTGAACTGAACTGTAATGCTGGAAGCCTCAGTTGATGACCATGGGGATGTGCACTCATGCCTAGGATCCTGAGTAGCTGGAGAAATGGGAGTGGAGATTGCACCATGAACATACTTTGTTACAAGTCCATCTCTTTCTCTCTCTTTTTCATGTACATACAGCTCTATGATTAATAAAATAAATAACCTTTAAAATGAATGAATGAATTAATTAAACATTCTATATATATATGTTATATAGCAAAAGCAATACTGAAAGGAAAGTTTATAGCAATAATATCTACATCAAACAAACAAAAAAATCTGTTTAATAACTTAATATTACAACTTTGAAAATTAGGAAAGAAAATTTAAAAAACAGAGTGAGCCCAAACTTAGCTGATGAAGGAAATAACAAAGATCACAAGAAAATAAACAGAACAGAGACCAGAAAAGCAGTCAAGATTAACAAAGCTTAAAGTTGATGTTTTCAAAGGCTAAATAAAATCAATAAAAATTTAACTAGAATTAGAAAGAATAATAGAAATAAGACTAAACCAAAATCAGGAATAAGGTAGACCAGTAGATGGTGTAATGGTTACGTTGCTGGACCCCTTTATAGTCAACTGCAGTTTGAGTCCTGGACCCGGTAGCTTAAAACGCATGCTGCGTGTGTATACATGCATGCCCGAGATCCCAAGAGGAGAACAGAGAAGAAGGAATTACAGTATGGTCGTCCTCCCTGAGGGTGATATCTCACTTTCTGTCTCTGTTTCTCTAGCAAATGCACTCATCCTATGGCAAATACCTCTCTAAGAAATAATAATCAGAAAAAAAAAATAGTGTATTACAATTGAGGCTACAGATATAAAAAGGATCATGAGACAACTATGAACTACTTTACAACAAATTGGATACCCTAGAATAAAATGATGAAATCTTAGTTTTCTAATATTTAGCATACAATGTTTAGACATAATTTAAAAAAAATATTCTTCTAAATGTTTTAGTAGGACTTTTTAAAAATATCTTGTTCCATATTCTTTATTATTGCATCAAATTGCTACTAATGTTTGTATGTGATTTTGTAAACTGCAACTTTATTTTTTAATTGTCTTATTACTAGTTTTTAAATAAACACACACACACACACACACACACACACACACACACACACACACATCAGAGCCAGATGTGTTGGTACACAACTATAATCTCAACCTCTCAGGAGAGTAAGGTGGGAAGATCACAAGTTCGAGGCCAGCCTGGGCAATATAGTCAGACTGTCTCGAAAAAATATCTTGCCATCAAGACCGTGAAATAATTTCATGTTCTCTTTTCTTATAGGAATGTCTTTAATTTCCTTCTCTTGACAAATTGCCCTGGCTGGAATTTCTAGTACTATGTTGAATAGATGTGTTAAGAATGTGAATCTTTGTCTTGTCTCTGATATTAGAGAAAAACCATGAGTTTAAGCCACTGGGTCCAGGACTTGAGCCACGGTCGATTACATGGGAGTCCAGCGACATAGTCACTATGCCAATTGCTGGTCCCCAGAAAAGAAATCGTTGAAGTCTTTGATTTTTTTTCTTAAATTTTATTGCATCTTTCTCACAAATCAATAGGACAAAACTTTTCTCTATGATTAAAACACTTACTTTCAAAAAGTATTCATAACTAAGAACATGACTTGTTTGATATTGTCTCTGTAAAATGTCCAGATTAGAAAATTTATAGAGATTGAAAGCAGACACATGGTTACTTAGAATTGAGAGACTAGAGAGGGACTGTAAATGGGCATGAATTTTTTAGGGTGATGGAAATTTTCCAAAATAAATTGTAGTGATAGCTGCATAGCTCTGAAAGTATACTAAAAATAGGTAAATTTTTGATATGTTACTGATATTTCAATAAATATCAAGGACTAAACACTCACTTAAAGGGTCCACCAGACAGCCAAATGGTTAAGGCAGCTGGATCCCACATGGCTATCCACACCACTTGAGTCTTAGACACTGTAGCTTAAAAAATATTCCGGATACATGTGTAGTGTGTCCCCCAAATCCTGAGAAGAGTGGAGAAGAATGGATGTGGTGCGGTATCCCTCCTGCAGGGTGCTCCCTCACTCCCTCCCTATGTTTCTGTCTGTCTCTGGCAAGTATACACACCCTATGACAAAAAAAAAAAAAAAAAAAAAAAGAGAGAGAGAGAGAGAAAGAAGTAGCGCAACTAGAATGTAATTGCATTTCTGCAATTTTCATCTTCAATCATTTATTTATTCCCCTCTTCAGGAAACTTTTCAGATATTCAGTTGCATTCTTATGATCATACCTAGATGCTCATATAATTTGAATATTTTCTCATAACTGCAAAAAAAAGAAAATAAATGTACAGTGAATAAAAGTATACAATGAATTTAAAAGTAAAAAAGTAAATAAGAAAAAGAAATACTGTATAATTACACAACCATAGAAGCCATTTTGATAACCTCTATACAGTTCCACATGTATTATGAAAACTTAGAATTTTTTTTAAACTCTAATAATTTATTCTCTCTACTGAAAGAAACTCATATCAAGTTACTTTGTTAACTATTTTTTATGAAAGAGGTGCTTGCTGAAAGTATTAAGCAGTGGACATAAATCTACAGGAGACTAAGAGCCAATTGACTATACTAATGATCACTTAGTCATTACAAAAATGTGATATACTTTAGTAATTCAATTTGAATTTATTTTTCTGTAAAAAGCTAACGCATTGCTGTGGTTTGAATCTACTCTCCTCAAATTCATGTGTGGAACCAAGGTAATGGAATTAAGTACACAAAACCTTGATTTAGTTATGATGTACAAAGATGAGACTTTCAAAAGAGATTACGTAAGGTCAACAAGATGGGGTCCCCATGATTAACTGCTGATGAGTTTGTAACTAGAAAGACATACTTGAAATATCCCTCCCAGAAGTGGCCTCTGAACCTAGGGCCTTTACAAAATGAGCTAAGTAAACTTCTAGTTTTATACATTACCCAGTTTCAGATAATTCATGTAATTAGCAATGAATGTACTAGAACACACAGTCTTTAGGAAAATAGATAACATCAAATATTACATTATAAATTCTCAGTTTAAAATGCATGCCAAAAATGGAATTTGTGACATTCATAAAAGGTAAGAAATTTTTTACAAGTTAATACATTCAAGGAAACAGAGAAAAAATTTAAATAGATAAATAATTTAGAGAGAGATTAAACCACATGAAAAGTGAAAAAAAAAAGATTCTGATTCCACTTAGTTCATTCATTACTGCCTTGGCTAATTTCTATGTCCTACAAAGTTAGGTTATGACCTGTTGGCAAAGGTGTGAGAAACAGCTGCAGTGCCAAGGGAAAAATGACCTGTATATTTCAGATTTTCCCAAGGGTGAGGGCAGTCATGGTAGCAGGACACAGCTGTCATCACACGTGGTCTTCCTTATGGAATTCCTTTAGCAATAAACGGAGTCTCCCAGAAGTCTAGTGTGAAGTCTAAATCCCTTGTGCACCTTTACATTACTGTTTCTTCATAAAATGTCCTAGTATTCTGGCATTTCCAGTCACTAACACTGGAAATTTCATGTCTAAACAATAGGGTTTTGCTCTAAAAAAATAAAGACTCAGGTTACACTTTGCTGAGCTTATGTTATTTATGGAAATAATATTGCATTTTATTTTTTTTCCTAAAGCAGATAAATATTACTGCAAACTAGGGAATTACAACCTTATGTAATTTACATCTCTTTAAAAATATTTTCAATCCTCTATTAATGTCTGCTATTTCTACCTCACACTTCAACAGTTCCAGATTTGTTCTCACAGGATTTCCTGGGCTAGAAGTTGAATATTTCTGGATCTCCATTCCTTTTTTCTCCATCTATGCCATGGTGTTCCTGGGAAACTGCATGGTGCTCCACGTGATCCGGACTGAGCCAAGCCTGCACCAGCCCATGTTCTACTTCCTGGCCATGTTGGCCCTCACTGACCTGTGCATGGGGTTTTCCACAGTGCCCACAGTGCTGGGGATCCTGTGGGGTTTCATTCGGGAGATCAGCCTGGATTCCTGCATTGCCCAGTCCTATTTCATCCATGGTCTGTCCTTCATGGAATCCTCTGTCCTCTTAGCTATGGCTTTTGACCGCTACATTGCCATTTGCAACCCACTGCGCTATTCCTCCGTACTAACTAATGAGAAAATTATGAAAATTGGGGTGACGATCTTATGTAGGAGCTCTTTACTCATACCTCCAGTCATCATCCGTCTGAAGTTCTTAAATTATTGCCGTCCTCACGTCCTCTCTCACTCTTTCTGCCTGCACCAAGACTTAATTCGAATGGCCTGTGGGGACATTCGTTTCAACAGCATCTATGGTCTGGCTCTAGTGATTAGCAACCTTTTATTAGATGCAGTCCTCATCCTTGTCTCCTACATCCTGATCTTGCATGCAGTCCTAGCCATTGCATCCCGAGAGGAGAGACTCAAGTCCTTGCAGACCTGTGTATCTCACATTTGTGCTGTTTTGGTATTTTACATCCCAATAATCGGATTGACTATGGTGCATCGCTTTGGAAAACATCTTTCACCTTTGGTTCATGTCCTCATGGGCAACATCTATATCCTTTTCCCACCCTTGATGAACCCCATCATCTATAGTATCAAGACCCAACAGATAAGAAGGAGAATACAGAGACTTTTCTGTTTAAAAAATGCATAAATCTAGAGATAAAACATGAATATATTTGAGAGTCAAGTGAAGTTAAACAGAGTAAGACTTAGTAAGTAATTAAAAATACATTGAAAAGCTCCTCTTTTAATTATGTTGTAAATCTTTGTTGGTATGTCTAAATTTCTACCAAATACTATTTCTACAGTCATATTGGTATGATTTACTTAATATTTTAAAGAAAATTTAAGGTACAATTACAAGCAATAATTCATCATTTTTATATGCATATGCACAGTTTCATGAAGTTCGGAAAACATTTAGTCATGGAACCAGTACTATGATCAAGGTATAGAATATGTTTTCACCCTCAACCTGTGCTAATGTCTGTTTTAAGTCAATCCTATCATACAACTTCAATTTCCTGGCAGACATTAATCAAATTTTCATCATATCATTTACCTTTCAGCAGAAATCATGTACAAGCAATTGTAACTAGAGTATTCTTTCTGTTTGGATTCTTTCACTGACAATACTGCTTTTAACATTTATACTTGTTGCCTACATCTACAGCTAATTCAAAATTTTATTAGAGTGTAGGTCCATTTTAAACTATTCAGTGAATTATTTGTTCATTTATCAATTGATCAATATTTTACTGTTTTGTAGTTTTGATTTTGAATTAAGTTGCCATAGCTATGCACATCATATGATTTAAAAAAAATAATCCCTCAAAAAGTTATAGTTCATTTGCAATGTTTATCTCTTTACTACTAATAATACAGAAGCACTATAATAATAATAATAATACACATAAACACAATACTTAATTCATGGCTATTATAATACATTCCAGACACCAGAGAAGCACTAGGTAGTGATTCTCACTATTAATCTTCACAACAAATCTATTAAGTATAATCATTCTATTTTGTATATGGGGAGATTGAGATAAAGGGATTTTAAATTGCTGGAAAATAATGATGGGACAATTTACTTTCTTAAGACTTTCTCCAGGGCCACTACCATTAAATTCTATGTGACAGCTATTTCCCTAATGTTCTGTTTATGTTTATTACTGTTGTTCATAGTGTGAGTTAAGATTTTTAAACTGTGTATTGATGTACGTCGATGTTTTCAAGTGAGTTACCTTCTGAAATAATCATTTAAAAGCCCATTCATTTCTAAGGCAATAATATAATATACAAAATTACTTTCTAATAGATTTTATGCTTAATTCTCTAAAGACAGGTGTGAGGAGTTTTGAATTTGTTTTCATGGTGTTATTTTCTTCAGAGTGACTCTATTAAAACTAGTAGTTGAACTGCCAGCCTTTCACTTAAAGGTCAATTCATACTTTCACTTTTAAAAGACAGCTTTACTATCGTGTAACCACTTACTTGAATAATTTCTATCCAATGGAGGTTGAGAAATTCAGCTAGACTATTTCCTTCTTTCATAGGCTTCTTCCCCTTCACTCTTACCCATTCCTCACCACCAACATTAAACAGGCGGTTGACTGGTCTCTGAGGATTGAGTGACAGAACTGAGTGAGCCTGGGTCGATGTTCTGTAGTACTTGGCGGGCCCAGAGAGAATATCATCTTACCTCCTCATTCTGGGTGGAATTCTATCTTTTTGCACCCTCTGCTGAATTTTGAATGAGTATTTGCCTTGGATCAACTTTAGCACATCAGTAAGCTTGGCTCTTAACTCAACAAGCCCTAAAACCGTGCTCATTTTATATTACTGTTTTGATTCTAGCAAGTCTTTTTATAGCCAAAGAATATAGAGACATTTATCCATTATATTGTTTTGTTTGTTGAGAGGTTTTGGCTATAGTGCTCATGCACTCACCAGAAGACAGACAGTATACGAGAAATCACCTCCCAGGGGAGATGGCCATGCTGAAATCCCTTCTCCTCCATTCTCCTCTTGTGATCTTGGGCACGCACGCACATGTGCCCAGCTTGAGTTTAAGCCACTGGGTCTGGGACGCTAACTGCTGTTAACTACATGGGAGTCCAGCGATATAGCCATTATGCTAACTGCTGGTCCCCCCATTATATTGATTTTTAAAATTTTTTTTTAAATTCACAATAGAGCTTGTGTGCACATGAGAGTGGGATAGAGAGAGAGGGAGAGAGAAGAATATTCTTCACAGGGTTAGAATCTGGTCTTGCTCTGATCCCCTTCATCTAGCCCTCCAGCCCGTTTGATCTACAGCACTCACACACGTGCCTGGCATGTTTCAGGCTGACCCTTGAGCATAAAAACCTAGCTAAACCATATGGGATCCAGATTCTCTTGAGTAGCACATTATTGCTATGCCAAGAGCTGTTCCTATATTGATATTTTTAAGAGCAATCTTCTACTTTAATTCAAATACATTTCATGGACATATGTAAAATATGACAAAGAGCAGTTCTAATTCAATGTTTTCATTTACATTTAATCATTGTACATCTTTACTGCTTGCAACATTTTTTCCCAGCATGCATGTAGTGTCTGTCAATCAAGACAAATATATCCCCAAATACCTCGTATCAACAGATAACTTTTCATCCTCGTGTCTTAAATTGTTTTTCCGGAGACTCCCACCCCCACCTTCTCCTATACAGTCTCTTCTATCTGTGCTTGACCTCCCAGCTTTTATGCGTTCTATTCTTTCAGTTTCTACCATAAAAGACAGATATTCAGTGTATATGGAGCAGGCACATACAATGTCAGCCCTTTGTAATCTGGCTTGCGTCACTTGGTATTCATTCTTCTATATTCATCTACTTTGTATCAAATGAGAGGTTTTCCTTATTGTTGCTTTTTATGACTGAATGGTATTCCATAGTATACCCATCCCACATTTTTTTTTTCAATCTAGTCATCTGCTTGCACATTTTGTTATTCCAAGTCTTAACAATTATGAATAATGCTGCAATAAACAGGGGAGTACAAGTGTTTTTCCAACTGTGTTTGTATCTTTTGGGTAAATACACAGGGATATTTACTGGGTTATGCGATAGATAAAATGTTACTCTATATAAATATGCAGCAACATTAGCCTGAAACAGAACATCAAAACACAAAACCTATCTCAAGATACCATTTACAGGGAACCAGCAGTTAGCGTAATGACTATGTCTCTGGACTCCCACGTAGTCGACCGCGGTTCGTGTCCCGGACCCGGTGGCTTAAAACTCACGCCGGGCACGTGTGCGTGCGTGCCCAAGATCCCGAGAGGAGAATGGAGGAGAAGGGATTGCAGTGTGACCATCCCCCCGGGGGGTGATTTCTCTATGTCTCTCTCTGTCTGTCTGGCGAGCGCACGCGCCCTACAGTGAAAATCTCTCCAAAAAAAAAAAAAGATACCATTTACACAAAACCTCACCAGTGATTATATAAAAATTTGGTAATTTTGATAAACTTAAACTTATCTTTATCATCATTAATTTCTAAAATAAAATATAAATTGTTTCTACAAAATATGTTATTTTATGTACACTTTACTGCATTTTAAAAATTTATTTATTTATTTTTGTTATTAATATTTTTAATGTGACCAGAGAGAGACAGAGAGAGAGAAAGGTAAAATGAGAAAGCAAGTAGCCAGGTCTGGGACTCAAACCACAGTCAGCCATGTGAGAATCTAGCATCTCAACTACCATGCCACCTGCCTGCCCCCCCCCCCAGTACTATATTTTACAACTATCTTATTATAAACTTATGGTTACAGTGAACAATATAGATCTAAAACATATTTCAAGAAGTAAATGTTAAAAGTATCCCTCACAACCAATATGTTTTAGATACACAAAAGTCTTATATTAAGTGTGTCAAACTTGCTTGGTTTATAAATTTCAATTGATAGCTATGAAGTGAATTGGCCAATAAACTAATTTACTGGTTATATAAAATATTTCAGTGACACTTAAACAATTTATTTACTCACAATTTACTTTTAGAGAAGCTAAATATAAAACAAGAGAGAATGTATGTATGCAATCTCTTACTGGGATGTAATGCTGAACAGATCATGTGAGTGGAAGGGTTTACATGTTGTGGGTGATAGGAAGATTGAAGAAGACAAAAAATAACATACATAGAATGGCTATGCATTTTGACCAATTCTATGCAGGAAACAGCATAGTAAGATAAAGTAGATATAAATAGAGAATCAGAGAATTTCTGTGTGTTGAAAGATTATCAGTATCAAGTAATTAACAAGCTCATGTAAGCACTATTTCCAGACTGTAGTAGGTAAATTTTAACCTATTCTTCCCTGTGGATACTTGGATAAAGAATCTCAAAGAAATATGTCAAAAAATTGGGGAAAAAAAGTGAACTAATTTCCATAGCAAAGGGTTTTTTAATTGTTCATGCTCAACAGTGAACTGATAATAAATATTCTCAAGCAGGCACAAGACCATCTCATAAAATACTTCTACAAAAAGTCTTCTGTGTGAGATAGAAGAATCAGAATTTTTAAATAATTATTTCATGAGACAATTAAATAAATTTAATATGAAGCTTCAAAATTTCCTTAGGCAGTTATTTATTGGAGGATAATTTGCATAATATAACAATAACTTGAATATAAGCTTTCATATTATGTAAAGATAACAATAAGTTTATCTATAAAATAGTGGAATGATGTAATGTTAGTACTATTCATCTCATTTAAAAAGTAAAGAATTGATAGTTATGTATTTAAATTTTTTAATCAAAACATTTACCTTAAAATTTTACGTATCAGTATAGTTCTATGTGTTCTTCCTTAGTCTTTATTATTATATACAATGTATATCTGTTTCTTTATATGAATGTGTGTGTTTGAGTCTGTATACTTGAGATCAAATGGTAGGTATTATTTTGCACCCTCTCATTTCTTTTTAAAATATTTTTTAGTTTCTTTCCTTGCAATCACTTACTTGTTACTTATTCTCTTATAATTTCAATGTATTATTATTATTATTATTATTATTATTATTATTATTTGTTTTTGCCATAGTCATGTGCACAACTGGAGAGAGACAGAGAAAGAGAAAATGAGAACTC